TTTAACAAAGATGCTTCTGAGAGGAGTAACCCACAAATCTTAGGCTTACTAGACTTTTCCTGAGAGCAAGTTCTGTTATACGATGAGGATGAGGACAGAGGGGGAAGAAATTGCCTCTGGATACCAACAGGATATAGAAAGAACAGAAATCACCCAAGCTTACCACACTCCTCACATCCTACTGCTCATGAAAGAAGTTCTGTGCATACCCTTAAATCTCTCTCACCTTAATCCCCACCACCAGCAAAATCACTCAACTACTCTTTCAAGGTGCCTGGTACATCATCGGTGCCCAAAAATACATGAGTGTATGAATAAATGGCTTCCCACTGGTCTCTGCCTCCAGGTTTGGTCCCATGCAGCTCATTAGTCAGCATGCGTCCTCCCAAAGATCCTTCTAAAGCCCAGTTTGATCTATTTAAAGCCCTTCATGGCACCTCATTATTTATAGGATCCAATCCAAACTACTTAGCTTGGAATACAAGGCCCTTCATGATCCAGCTGCTGCAGCCTGTCCCCTTTCCAATCTGGCATCTCGCAGAGAACCCCATGTGTGTAGATAGGTACACGGTGACACAGTCAGAGCAACCCAACCACATTGAACTACTTCTAGGTGCCTGATCACCTGAGATGTTTTACACTGTACCTTGCCTGTTTCTTCCTGGAATACACTCTACCTCATCCTGTGTCTACCTGGTAAATGTCTACAAGTCCTTTCACGGTCAGTTTAAATGACCTCCCCTCAGTGAAGCCTTTAGGAGCTCCTAAACTGAGGTACCAGTCTCTTCTGATTGCCCTCCCTATATCTAGCCCTATGTAGTGTATTTCACAACTGAAGGGTATTTATGTGTGGGCATGAATATCTCCCCACCAGATGATCATGTCCCTGGAAGGCAGGGCTGTTTATATCTTATTTGTTATTATATCTTCACACTAGGCATTTACTATGCTCTTAATAAATGTTTAATTGAGAATTTAAGCTGAGACTGCTTAAGGCCAAATTCCCTTCCTTCTCCCTTTCCCCAAGAATTGTTCTGGTATAGCATTAACTCAGTTACTTTTTTTGTAAAATAAGAGCATCATTGTAACTATGAGTCTTTTTTGGGTTGACTAGCTAAGCATCTGGCCCCAGAATGAAGCCCTACAGGGGGCCATCCACTTCTACTCTCTGCCTCTGGAAACACCCTTAAATCCCATGTCTGGTGCCTGGGAGGGTGCGGCAGGCACCCGCGCCTTTTCCCTGCAGGGGTGGTTGGGCAGGAGGTAGTCTTTGTTACTCACGAGTGTGCTCTGGCTTTGGAGGGGCCACGTGATGCCCACTGGCGAACTGCACCGTGCCTCTGAGGATGTCACACACGACGTCATTTCTGCTTCCTCTTGTCTTGGAGTCTTCTGCTTGCTGTTTGCCTGAGATATTTCCAGGTGGGCTTCCTTGTGATGTAAGTTCAGCCTGTTATATGGTCCACAATTCAGTGAGTTCACAGACACAACTATTTTCTAAAGCTGCCCAGCAAGGTGTCCCCCAAATAGAACCTCTATCCTTAAAGACAGCAGTAGGTTTTCCACTCTCCCCTAGGTTTCCTGAGAAGCCAGTAGGCTGGCTTTGGTGTGACCTACATATTCTAGTGCCTCTTTAGGAAAGAGTGCTCTCTCTCCGCCTTCTTCATAGAGACAGTGTCAGCTTCTCAGGTGGGAAGCTGACGCAAAGCAAACAGCATGGGGGTAGAAGATGTCAGCAGCCACTGCCCTCAGCCTCAGAAAAATCGTGTTCGGAATTCTCTTCCACTGGGCAGCTTCATTCTCCTTATATCTAAGAGTAAAGTTGTCGAAGGGAGCAGATTCCTAGCTACCTAATCAAATGTGTGCCAGAAGCCAAAGTCACTGCTTCCCAGGTGACTCTACAGAACCCAGTTCTTTCATCCTGGTCTGGTGTAGACATATGCTTCGGTGAACCGCGAGCGCCTTCCCATTGGTGTGACTGGCATTATCATGTCGTGTTCTGCCAATTATTACAGAGGATTTGTGACTCAGTTATATCCTCTTAGTACGCGGATGTTTCTATTGAAGCTATTGGTTATTTAACAAACCACAGACATCTGACAGAAATAAAGGGTTTATCTGAAATATTTCTTCACAGGAAAAATACATTCTCTTTCTAGCACACGGAAAGACTTTGCATAAGTGATCTCGCCAGCTAGCTAAGCAAGGGAAAGCCTTGTTGTGAGAGAAATTTAATGGCGTTGCAGTGGCCAAATATTTAATACTTTAAAGAGGAAGTTCTAAAATTTAATAGTTGATTTTATTATTTCTCTTTGGATATAATTAACTAGGGATGCACTTTCAACTGCTTTATTCTGGCTATTGAGATGGATTTTATGGTTTACACTGGGGGAAAAAAATTCTGTCAGACCATCGGCCTGTCCCTTGGTGCACATTATTAGAGTCTTTTTAGAGACAAGCAAGCAATTTTGCTGTCATTGGTCTTGTTCAAATAGAGTATGTTTATCTATGCAATGCTCTTGGGAACAGGTGTCAAAAAAGGATCACCAGTTAGCAGCTGACATAGTCCCGCATACATGTCGGAAAAGCTCCTCAAATAGCAAATGAACACATATATTTCATTTTTTATGTGGCTGATAAAATGTTATATCATTAAGCCAAAAGAACATATTTGTCCCTTCCAAGTTGAGTTGAGAACCAGTTCTCACTCCTAATACAAATGAGGGCCCTGCAGAAACCAAACAGCCCCCCGGGACCTGAGGGAAAGCAGGTCTTTGTACGGTGAGCGCCGGCTCTCTCATGGGCGGTCGCATGTTCCCTGTCAGTCCCCAGGTCTGGAATACCGAGTGGGCTACAGTGGAAGCGAAGTCTTTCTGAAATGTTTAGTTTAACATGTGTACCGTTTTATTTCAGATGCCAAATCCTCATCTCCTTGCTCTATCAATCGAAGAGTCCATTCACTCGTTCATCCAACAAATAAACATTGAGCAGCAAACAATGAATGCGCAGCAGGTGCTCATCTGGGCTCCTACAAAAAACTGTACCAGACAAACAAGCTGCCTGCCTTCAAGGAATTTACAGTCTGGTGAGGATGAGAAACGAGTAAGGAAGTAGAAAATCTAATCACACATCTGGCATTCTATGAAGAGACTCAGTGTTGACATCAGAGAGAAATGAGTTTTCTGGTGTACAGAATGTAAACAGTAAGACCTTTATAGGGTTTGAGGATTCAATGAAACAAGACCTGGTCGGCGCACTTCTGAGACAGTGTTCAGCAAGAGGTTAGAGGTCGGTTGTACAATTGAATACATGGGGAGGACCCATGGTGTATTTGTTAGCGACCCGTTCCTCAGGGCTGAAATTCAGCCTTCATATTTTGTAGTCATATTTTGGTGTCACAGAGAACAGGTGCTACTTACTCTTGTCATTTATTTAGTTTCTCCTAAATTATTCACCTGGTATTTTGCTTACAAATTCTTCCAGCTCTTTTGGATGGCATAGTTGTCCTTGGGACCTTTTCAAAGAACCCCTCACAGTGGACACTCACCCTCTCACTCTAGTGTTATTGGAAGTTTAGATTCTCATATAAAGCACCTGATTCCTAGGGTTCTATTTTTACCTCCTGGGAACTGGAGAGATCCTTGACTTGGGCTATCCTACTTCCAGAGATTTATTAACCACTTTTTATGTGCCCCCATTTTTCTTTAAAACCCTCAACTGAGGATATGTTTTTAATTGATTTCAGAGAGAGGGAAGAAGAGAAAAAGAAATATCGATTTGTCCCTGAGGACCAACCCACAACCTAGGTACGTACCCAGCCAGGGCTAGTGCCCAAATTTAATTTAATCCTTAAACAACCTGTGAGGTGAGGTGGATATTATCATGTGCATTTTTTTTTTTTTAAGATGAAGAAACAGAAGCTCACGGTGGTTAAGAAGCTTGCCCAGTGTTATAAAACTAAAAAGTGATATAGACAGAATTTGTACTTATCTCAATTATTTTGTTAACCCACTTATGGAGTACCTACTATGTTCTAGGTGATGACATATCATTAAAGGAGATGGATGTGGAGGAAGCAAACAGTTAAATAAGTAATCAGAAATAAGAGGATGCTGTGAAGGAGAGACACCAGAGGACAGTGGGGACATGTGACAGGAGGGCCAGAAATGGGGCTTTTGTGTGGAGTACCATGGAGATCCAGAGTGGGAGGCAAGCAAAAGACATTTGGGGTGCATGGTTGTTGGCTGGGGAAGAGGCCGTCCTAGGCAGATGGGACGCATGTACAAAAGACCCGAGGAAGAGAAGAATATGGGTGTCTTTAAGGAACGGCAAAAGGCTAATAATGCCTGGATTTTTAAAGACCAAGGGGGGCTGATGTTGAAGAAGGTTAGGGACCAAATCACATTGCTGGCTTTATGAGGGATATGGACTTTATTCCCATTTCTATAAGAAGTCATTAAAGGACTTGAAGCTAGGAAATGATTTAATCACATTTGAATTTTTTTTTTAGATCCTGCTTATTACTTGTGGAGCATGGAGTGAGAAGGAGGCAACTAAGGAAACAGGAAGACTATTTGAAAGCTATTGTAATAGTCCAGATAGGAAATTATGACAGTTCGAACCAAGGTGGTGGTAGAGGGACAGAGGGAGGTGAATGGACTCCTGATATATTTAGGAGGTGAACTTTTTTTTTTTTAATCCTCACCCGAGGACATTTTTCCATTTTGTGTTCAGATAGAGCGGGAGGGAGAGAGAGGAAGAGAGAGAGAGAGAAATATCGACGTGAAGGAACACATCGAGTGGCTGCCACCCACACAACCAACCAGGGCCGGGGACAAACTGCAACCGAGGCACATGCCCTTAGCGGGAACCGAACCCGGGTCTCTCTGGACCGCAGGCCGACGCTCCAACCGCTGAGCCAAACCGGCCAGGGCAGGAGGTGAACTTTTTGATTGAATCATTTGGAATGCTTTGGATGGCAAGAAATAAAAATGGACTTACTAAGAATATTCTCACTTTTCTGATTTTGTAATGATCAGAGCAGGCTAAACAGTTGCTTTATGAAGACCATGCATGTCTTTAGACCTGGTTCTTTCCCTACGTCCGGTTTCATAGATGCTGGTGATAGACTGAGTCTGACTTACATGATGCATCTGGAATGGGAAACGCCCGACTCCAGGCAACTGATCAACCTCAGGAAATGACAGCACAGCTAGTGCCATAACCTGAAGATAACCACTGCTCATCTCATGATTACCAGTTGCCATTAAATGAATTGTAAAATTATCACTGTTTTATTTTCTAGGGAAAAAAACCACAAACTAGCCTTAAAAGTAGAGGGGAGTTATTGGTTTATGTAAGTGCAATTGCAGCACTCAGTTCAGCAAAGCTCGTGCATTCTCTAGGGGACGGGTTTCTGATGGCCTCTGTTTTCCCTTCTGCCGTATGTGCTTCGTCATAAGGGCACCACCCTCATGCTCCCAGGGTGGCGGCCAGCGGCTTCGAGGCTCCATGCTTTTTCCTTTACATCTTGTTGGAAAAACAAGCATTTTGTTTCAGTATTCCCAGCAAATGTCTCAAGTTACTCTGATTGGACCAACTGAAGTCTCATGCCCATTCCTGATCCAGTTATTGAGGCTAGGGAGATAGAGTGCCCTGACTGACTTAGGTAAGTCATAACTCTGCTCCTAGAGCTCTGGGGTCAAGCTTTCCTGGACCACGTGGCTCACCAAATGGCGATGGAGAATGTTGAGAAAGGAGAAGGGAGGACTGTGTTCTGGGATCCAGGAAAGGTCTTCTCTGTCTATGGACTGGAAGTCAGGGTTTAGGGAGATTATGGTCAAGAATGAACTCTTCTGGTGGTATTGCTCATTGAGTAGGGAGCAAAAGAAGCAGGTTTATGGAAGAAGGTGATGAATTCAGCTGTGTTTGCAGGGCCTGAGAGACATCAGAGTAGAGGTCAACTAGACAGTTGGATGGGCCAGCCTGCAGCTCAGAGCAGAGTTCCTGGCTAAAGACAGAGATTTGTGTGTTGTTGACTTACCTGATCCCAAAATGTGTGCTCTTAATCAGAAGGCATATTTTACATTAGTTTTAAAGTCTGTTCAATTGCTGTAGCAACTCTCTATGGCCAGGAAACATTTAATCACATAACAACTATATTTATATCTCACTTTTAATATATATTCTTTTAAGGCTCACAGCTATTGCTTTCCCATTTTGTAGATGTGAAAACTGAGGCATGGAAAGGTTACACCTGAGCTCACAGGGCTAATGAAGAGTAGCACTGGGATTGGAATGAAGAAAATCTGACTCTAGCGTCCTTATTCATAATCTCTCTACATACTATTCTGCTCTCAGCTGCAGAAGCAGAAGGGAAAAAGCAAAGATGGCCACCAGGTCAATCAGTTGCTTACACAAAGCAGAATGGTTGCTCTGATTAATTCTCAGTTCTCCCTGGGATGCTGGTCTTTGGGTCTGAACTGCTTTTGAGGCGGCATAGCCCTAGAGGTGAGAAACCCTGTTTGCAGTGGTCATCTTGGACCCCAGCATGGCAGGTGGGGAAAGGAGCCGTCATAGTCAGAGATGTGCAGCAGCCGAGCAAAACAAACCACACAGGCAGCCACGAGGGAGTTTATAATGGGGGATTCCGGGCCTCTAGAACCTCCTCTTGCCCCATTCCTGCTAAATCCTCAACCTTCCTGAACTGTTTTTGACAGCATCACAGAGCTGGGGAAGGCGGACATGAAGGTATATAGTTCTCTGGCTTTTTCCTTAAGCAAAGTAGACGCAATAGTTCCTTTCTGTTGTTTTGTATTATCTGCGCCTCTTTGTCCCCTTTAGTATGGATGATTAAGAGCTAAGGATAAACCTCTCTTTTTGTTAAAATACCTTTTTCCACTAAAGCATAATATCTATAGCTCTTTCTTCCCCTCTACAAATGATATAAACAAGCACGGAAAACAACCTCACACCATGCATTAAATAAGCCAACCTCTAAACTACCCACATTATCTAGCGAGAGGATTTTTTTTCCCCTGAATCAGACGTTGATCATAATGGTCAAAATAATCCTTGGCACTTTCTCTAAGCTTGCTCATTATCATTCAATATGTTCAACAGAATTATTAAATTTAAAGTAATACACTGCACCTGGTTGAGATGACGGTGAGAGATTTGGCTTCCTGTCTCTTCGTTAAGGATGAATTCAGCCCAAGGGTGTACTATGAACTTGGCAAATAGCATTATAATAGTGAGAGAATATTGCCTATTGGGTAGCAGGAGTTGATGATTAAATTTAAGTGTGTACTGTCCACATAAAACAAATAATGCTCTTTTTTTCTAACTTTTACTGTGAACATTCATCACTGGTGCTAGAGATGCACAGTTGCTAATTATTGTGTTTTTAACTTGTAATATACTGTAAATTTTGTATAATACTACTGTGACCTTATACAGAATAGAAAAGATGACAGCAGGCCTATAATTATTGTATGGGGAAGAAATGCCTATAATTATCTACTATTTTTAGGACCAGCGTGCATGGCCTCTTAATTTACATAAGCTTTAGACATTCACACATTTTCTGTCTTTGCTTGTGCATGATAAATTTTGCTCAAATGAAATCAGAAGACATACTGTTAGATGAGGAGTTAGCCAACTGGGAGCTTGATTACAATGAACAACACAAGCTTTGGTGCCAGCTAAAAAATAGAGCATTTATTTGGATGGGATTTGTTTAAAGCAAGATTCAAAACATTAAAAAAAAAAACCCGACACCATTCGTATTACTATATTGGGGCCTGATAACGTGTGATTATTTTTTAGAGAATTGGTTAAATTATCTTGTGGAAAAGCATTAACCTAACAAAGAGAAAACCTCTAGGATATTTATCACATGTAGGGTGATTATGACAGCATGTTCTTATTAGAGATGAATATTTTGTGCTCATTAAGGTTACCCCCTTGAGTGCTGAAGGATGCAAAGTGCGTCGCAGTGAAGTGCTATATTTCTATTGTCTTGTGAGCACTTGCTGTTGGCTGGGGTGTTTCATTCCAAGTTAAGGGGCCTCTCTAAAAGACCCAGCCCTGGCAGGGCCTGTATCAGAGCCACTGGGCAGTTGGAACAGACTGGGCGACTTTTAATTCTAACACTCTATGGATATATCTGCAAGAATTGGGATGATATCGAGAAATCTCTGGTCTCCTACTGTGGGATAGCAAGTGGGAGAGGTGGATGGACCAGGTCCCCGAGGAGTCTCTGGGTGAGCCCCACTTGAAGGAAATTCAATACATACGATTCTAAACTGAAACTATAGGCAAACTCAAACTCAAACTGCCTACTTTATAAAGGGATTTTTCACTATAATAATTAAAAGTGATTTCCCCCAGAGTAGCAAGTTTTCCTGAAGCACATTATATATGATGGTTTTTGTTTTATTTGCTTCTTTAGAAACGACTATTACTTTTATTTGCCTACTGGAAATTATGCATATGCAATTACTACTTAAAAGGTTATATACAACTATCAAAAAAAAATATCCTCAGAAATATGTAACTTCACCTCAACCCCTCCCCCTACCTCATATTTTAAATTTAAGGCATGACAGAAAAGCTCATTTGAAGTTTTGATTCATTGGTTGGTTTATTGATATTTTTAATGAGCATGTAATAGATAATTCTAAACGATCAGGAGTTGGCAGGATGTTTAGATATACATCATGTCCAAGAGCTCAGGGCCCATAAATACCTGGGCTAGTCAATCTATAGTTTGTTCAATTCATATCTTTAAAAAAGAAAAAAAAAAGAATACCTAATAAAAAAACCATAATCACATATTATTGTTGCACCTAAACATTTCTTAAAATTATTTAATAGCAGTGAATATATGTTGTCTGAAAGAATGAGTGGATGATGAAGCATCGTCAGTTGGGGTGATCATTGACAGTGTGGGCTGGTAGACAGTACATTCATTAGTCTGGACTCAGTTGGACTTGAGGTCAAATAGAAAGTCTTCTACTTATTGTTTCCATCAAAATGCCCTCAGTTTCTATAAAATAGCACCTGCCTTAGCGCTCTCACAAGGTGATTGCAGGATTAGCAGTCCAATAGGGAGCTGTGGTTCAGGGCAAGGACCGGGGAGCCAGACACAGGTCAGTGTGCAGGGTCCTCACTATTTACTCTCTCTCAGCCTGTGAAGTCACCTATAAAATGACAATAACAATACTTGCCTCTCAGGGTTGTAGTAAGAATCCAAATATGGCCCTGGCCAGTTTGGCTCAGCGGTTAGAGCATCAGCCTGCGGTCTGGAGAGACCCGGGTTCGGTTCCCGCTAAGGGCACGTACTTCGGTTGCAGTTTGTCCCCGGCCCTGGTTGGTCGTGCGGGTGGCAGCCACTCGATGTGTCCCTTCACATCGATGTTTCTCTCTCTCTCTCCCTTCCTCTCTCTCCCTCCCACTCTATCTGTACAAAAAAATGGAAAAATATCCTCGGGTGAGGATTAAAAAAAAAAAAAAAAAGAATCCAAATATGTTGAGTAAACTTTCAATAAAAGGTTTGTGTTATTTTTTATGTGAATTTGCTTCGGTGAATTAGAATACTACACAAATTTATTATTATTAAAAGTAATATTTTCCACGTTTTTTATAGTCTCAGTCTTTGAAGCTGTCTTTTCTCTTCAAGGTGCTTTAGAAGTGATTAAAAAGATGGAACTGTTGTAGTAGGGCTTGCTGGCCAGGTGCGGCTCCTCACCGTCAGGGGGCCAGTCTGGTTTGACTTGCCTCCCTTGGCCCTGGCACCAGCTGAGCGCTGGCTAGAGGAAAGGCCCTGATGAAAGAGGTCCTGGCAGCTAGAACATTAACACCCACTCTTGAGCCAGGAGGTAGGTGTTAATGTCTCTAGCTGGATTCTTAACAGCAGAGATATGTAACACCTTGCCAGGAGCCAGGAGCCAGGAGCCAGGAGCCAGGGCCCCCTCTTTAAACAACCTGGCAGGTGAAAGGGGAAGAGCGCATCTCCAGTTGAGCAGCTGAGAAAGTACAGGAGGCTCTGGGCCACAAACATGAAGCCAGTTATTGCAGGGTGAACCCTAAAGGAGGAGAGGTCTTCTTTAATTGGGTTGCCTGGAGAG